CTGTAGTCTATTGTCAGTCGTCATAAATCAAAAGTCGGAAAACAGCTCATAGACAAAGAAAATGATTTAAATATGTGTTTCAGTCTATACGATATTTAGAATGGAGGAATATATATGATCCCTTATCTAGAGGACATGCTTCTGATAAGATCAGAGTTGACAGCGGTTTCTGAGAGCTACGATTGCTAATCAGATCCTGAAGTCATATGTGAGATATAGTTACTAGACTTATCCAAGTAAGAGACTATTGGATCAGTATCTAACGTCGTAACTATATTTGGTATGTACTTGACCCGGTTGTGCATGGTCCTTTTGGGTTACCTTCACCAAAACAACTTGACAAGGTAATTTTGGGAGACAGAGGATATAATGATTTATTAATATATTATAAGAATATTATATTAAATGAGAAATCATATTATTTAATTAATATTGGTCATAAATTAATTAGGAATTAATTTGATGACTAAAAGAGATTAATTGAATAAAGGGGTATAAACTGTCAAAAGTGTGATAATTGAGTTTTGGGCTGGGAAACCTAATGGACTAAGGGGGAACAAAATTATGATGGAGATCCATCATATTTTTGTCCAAGGCCTCATTCAGTTGCTTGGGCTGATAGGTGATTAAGTTGTCCATTAGGGTTTTACCTGAAACCCTAGTAGCCTATAGTATAAATAGAGATCCCTACATGCAGAAATCGGCCACTTGATTCCAAGAAAACCCTAGGGATGAATTTAGCATCATTCCTTCTCCATCATAATTGCCTTCTTACTTGTGTGGTGTTTGTAAGCCATTATAGGAGTTACACTTGTGAGTCTAAGCTCAAGAACCAAGAAGAATCAAAAGGTTTCAAGCCAATTTTAAGAGGTAATCATCTAGATCTGTTCTTGTTATGTTAGTTTCGAATTATGCATGCTAGATCTAGGGTTTCAAGTATTGGATGAATTGCATGTACAATAGAGAAACCTAGATCCAAGCTTTTAGGGTTTTGCATGAGCACATAAGATGTTCTTTTGTATAAAACCCATCACATTAAAACCGTAAGTATCATAAAAGCTTCCTCTTTTTGTTTATTTGTCACAAATGGTCCCTTAACAAGATTTTGTTTAATTTTTCAACATCCTTTACATGTTTAACACTTTCATCTTCAAGATAAGTTCCCTAAAGTGTTTTAGTTTACAAATATGACCATGTTTTGGTAGAGAATTCGAGATTTATGAAGTTTCATCACATAATCACAACATATAACCTAGAAACACACATAAACATTCACAAATACATAGATCTATCACAAAAGCAACTTGTATTCTCCCCCAAAACATAGTAAAACCGAAAACAAGGGGGTATGAACTCACTTTCGGGTTTGGATGGGTTTTTGGAAGGAGATTTGAGATGTTTTTGGCCTAAAGTGCTTCTTTGGAAGAAGTTCTCGAAGCTAGATGATTCTAGGAAGTTAGAACACGAATGAAGCTATTGTAAGAAGAAGCTCTTAGCATTAAAATGGAAGGTAACAACTTGTATAAGATGATAACTTACCAAGAGGTTGAAACCTTGATGAAAAACTCTTGAAACACCCACACAAAGCACAATTTTTGACGGGGACGAAAGAAGTATTTTCTTATGTTCTTATGTGGAGTATGAGAGGATTCAACATGAAGTTTGAATGAATTTTTATGGAGGGCGAGGGGAGAGGTTTCGGCCGAGACTAGAAGAAGAGAGAATAAGGTTACAAGCCAAATTGAAGAGGTAATCATCTAGATCTGTTCTTGTTATGTTAATTTCGAATTATGCATGCTAGATCTTAGGTTACAAGTCTTGGATGAATTGCATGTACAATAGAGAAACCTAGATCCAAGCTTTAGGGTTTTGCATGAGCACATCGGATGTTCTTTTGTATAAAACCCATCGGATGTACTTAATGATTTTGGATTTGTTAACACAACTCTTATTCATAGTTAATTAGATGTGGTAAACTATTTCCCAAAAGAACTAGTCGTCTCAAGAAACTAATTTCTGAAAAAATTATTTGCACCACCGCTTGGCGCGGGTGCACAGCTACTATATATATATATATATATGGAGTGGTTCAAATGAGAACCATAAAAGATTAAGAACCTTAAGAATCCCCATTAGTTAGTAAATATTTACATGATATTCTTATTGAACATGTGAAAATCCTTTTTTTTCTCTTTTTGATACAAAAATGGCAAAATTGTAATTTTTGTAGTATAATATTTTCATCGTATTTGAACACAAAACTTATATAAATTACAAGTTTATACAATACATTGATACTTTAATTCACAACTTAATACAAACCATTTTATAATAATTCACAAACTTAAAGAAATAAAAAATTCAAACCCTACTACCACCACTACACGCTGCAACCAACCACCTGTACCAGCATCGCAACCATTATTTTCTTCTAAATCAGATCTGTAAACAAAATAATGCATTAATAATATATCTACTACATTCACAGTCTAATAAAACATTTATTTCACTCATTTTGAATTAAATGAAAAATTATTATTAAAACTAATGTATTCTTACATACTTATATATCAAAAAAAATAAATATATTCAGAAAAAAATTAACAAAAAAATTTATACATAAACCATTTATATTTTAAAATTGTGAATTTAATATATTAAGCCGTGAATAAAATTTACGTTATTTCAAAAGCAAACAAAAAAATTATAAAATAATGATAACTTAATGTGAATTCATTCACAGCTTAATACAATCAAGTTATAGTTTAATACACACAATTCACAACATAATATAGTCAGTTCATAGTCTAAGAAGAAAATACACAGTTTAATGCAGTCAATTCACAGTTTAAAACATAAAAATCATAGTTTAATACACAAAATTAAAAGTTAAATATACAAAACGTATGCATCCACAACCATATTTTCAACTTAACACTCTTTATATAGCCAATTCAAAGTTTATACACAAAATTCATAGCTTAATACAAGTAACTTCATAGTTTTATACACATAATTCACAACTTAATCTAGTCAATTTACAGTTCAAATAGGAAATTGACAGCTTAATACAGTCAATTCATAGATTAAAAAGAAAATTTAAAGCTTAATGCAATCAATTCACAGTTTAAAACACAAAAATGACAACTTAGTACACTAAATTCACATTTTAATACTCAAAAAGTAGTATTCACATCCATATTATCAACTTAAAACACTTATTACAATTAATACACAATTTAATATAGAAAATTCACAAACTAGTATAATAAATTTAAAGTTTAATTCAAAAATAATTATACATTCACAACTTAATAGCAGTTAAAACTAAGATTACCAAAATTATACGACAAATGAGAGATTAAAACATCAAATTCACACATTAACAAAAAAAAAAAACGATAGCATTGAGATCCACAACAAATTCCAGTAGAAAAGCATATTATCAACTTAAATTTTTTAATTCATAGTTAAATATAGAAAAATCACTGTTTAATACAAAAAAAGTATGTATTCAAAAGCATATTATGAACTTAAAAATTTAATACAATCAATTCACAGTTTAATACAATAAATTCCTAGTTAAATATACAAAACTCACAGCTTAATATAGTCAATTTACAGTTTAAACAACAAAATCACAGCTTAATGCATTTTATTCACAATTTTAAACACAAATATCACAGCTAAATACACAAACTTCATAGTTTAATATACAAAAAAATATACATTCACAACTAAATTCGCAGCTTAATAACTTACCAAATTTCATTAAGGCATTTCATCACACACCTTGTCTACATCTTTTTTTCAGAACTTCCTTTTGTAAACACCATACACAGTAGAGCTAACCTGAAAATGGACAAACACATCAGACCAAGTGTCGATTTGGTGGTGTTTTGACCAGAAATAAGAGAGACAGAGACGAAAATGAGTTATAGATGGGAAGGGGGTGACACATAACAGATCTGGTACAAATCCAACAAAGAGCTTCATACTCCATCACATCTGTTATTCCGGTGAAACAGTTCAAAGAGTTTTTCTTGTGCTTCATCAAATCAGAAATGTTAGAGATTTGGAGAAGAAGCATATTCAAACTTCAAAATCGAGTTTAGTGTTTTCTAGGTGTTCCAGCAAAGCAAAGCGGCCGATTGAAGGCGATAGTCGGTACTGGTGAGATAGATGGCAGTGGAAGGAGGTGGCGCTCGGTGGTGATGACAGATCTAAAGTCAGGGGTTCTAGATTTGAAGGCGAATGCACCAGATCTGAAGGTGAATGCTTCAGATCTGAAGGTGGCGGCTACAAATCTGAAGATCGTTGTATTCTGGCGACGACGACGGTGCCAACGATGGTGCTGGTGGTCGGCAGCGGTAGGATGTAAGAGAGAGAAAGAGAGAGATGAGAGAGAAGTGAGAAAAGTTGTCTAGTGAGATAAAATTGAGCAAATATATCTGATGATTTAAGTTACAACGTAAAAATAGTGTTTCTTATGGTTCTTAACTTTTTATGGTTCTCATTTGAACCTTTACCTATATATATATATATATATATATATATATATATATATATATATATATATATATATATATATATATATAATTTTACCGGCAAGATTACCAACGACGCACACCATACCGGCACAACTATTTTATAGCAGCGACAATTATCTTTAAAATGCGACAAATTTAAACAATAGTGATGAGATAGTACTGACGACTTTTTAGCAGCTACGTGTCGCCTCTATTACTTTTATCCGCGACGATGCTATGTTTTAGCGGTCATTTTTATCGCTGCCAATGACTTGTTTTCTTGTTGAGACGCAGCACGTGTGAACTAAAACTTGAAATTAAGGTTAAGTGTCTGTGGCATCTGAATTCCATGAGGTCGCATTAAAAGATGGTACCATTATTTTTATTTGTGAAATTGTTTGTTTGCTCATGCTTTTGAAATGCAGATAGGGCAATTTCGTACCCTGGAAAGTAAACTAATAAATAAAAAGTCTGGTTTGACCCCTATAATTTAATTCACTTGTTGGTGACTATTGGCGGGTACAAATAATTTCATGAAAAAGAGCTATAGAAGGAAACAAAGAATCGCATGATGATGGTGAGGATTATGATTAATCTGGAATCATTTTAACAAATGTAAAATTAATGCTCTTAATTGTCAGGAAATTGTAATTTGACAAATCCATTCAGTGAAAACAATATATTCTCAAGCCCATTTGGCTATGAGAGACATCAAGCCGGCACCAAGAAGAAGAAAAACATTTGAACCAAGTAGAAGCATCTTCTTGTTTTGCATCCTGGGATTATTGAAATCGGGAGAAAGTAGGTTGACAAGTGCCATATATATCAACATTCCAGCCGATGCAGCATTTAGCACGCCTTCCACAATAAGAGAATTTGTATTGTTTTCTTTATAGCTGTTGCTCATCAATATTCCGATTACAATTCCACCTGGAGTCGTAAGGGTGAAAAACGCTCCCATTGATATAGTCGCCATTGACTTGATTTTTGCCTGAAGTATGTGAACCGTGTTATTTAGGATTTATTCGTAGCCATAGTTGATATTCAACCCAATTATATACACTAAAATAAATCTAATTTGTTGATAATATCCATACCTGAAAGATGCATCCACCGAGGCCTAATCCTTCGAAAAATTGGTGGAAGGACAAGGCAACAATAAGTGGTTTTATGGTTTCCGGACTTTTGGAAGCACCTAACGATAATCCTACAATTAATGAATGAGCGACAATTCCTAATTCCAGCACCTGCGATCCAAAAGATAAATAATATTTTCACCAATATATTACTTCCTCTAACTCACCTTAAGTTTTAATTATAGACATAACGAAAGGATATCGTCTGTATAACAGATCAATATAATCGGATCAACTTATTTATTTAATGAATCTTACCATCTATGCTTAAATGATATGTGTGCTTGTCTTCCTACAAGATTCTAATTGAAATTAGAATTATCAATTGGTTCATCTTAATTAGTGTCTTTAATAATTTATCTGTTTGCAGCCTATTTATATTTCAATCAACTTTGTCGTTCAAAAGAAACAAAAAGATTTGAAAGATGAAGTAATTTACCTGGGAAATAATCCGATATCGATAAACTTGGGAATTATCATTGGCGTGAGAATGGTGATGGGTTGCATGCATGTGAACAGTCACAACCCCAACGTTATTTTCTTCATCGTCAACCCCTTCAACTACCGTCTGATTCTTAGGCTGGCATGCCGCTGACCAGCTCTCAAACATCAACGTCACAATGGTTGCAATCATAGCCACAAACCCAGATAAAGGAAAATCCGCCCAAACCTGTTCTTTCAAACATGGAGACGTCAGGCTCTCGAACGCGTCTGGAAGTATATGGATAAAACCGGTAGCCAGCATCACACCAGCAGCAAATGATTTTATTAGGAAGAAACCATCTTTTTCATGGCGTAAAGCCGGGAAGATTTTGCCAGCGAAAGGTAGAGATACGCCGATTCCGCCCGCAATCAATATGGAAGCAAGTGCGATTAATTTGTACTTAAGGGTTTCGCTTTTGTTGCCGTGGATTTCTTCGTCTTCACAACTGCAATCAGCAAAGACTCTAATGACTAGGCTTAATAACAAAATTGCCGTAACTATTGGTTTCTGAAATTCCATTTAATTTTCGAATTAATTGTCAATGTATTTTGTTAGTGCGTCCGCTTTTTATTATATAGGGTAAAAAACAAATCTTATAACATATCACTCTTCAAAGATATCACGCATTTGTTATGATGTACAAATTGTATGACATACAAACTCACTCTCCTTAAGCAAACTTGTCGTTATCACAAACTAATAATCCATATCTGCAAAAATCCATTTAATTTTGGAATCATCCCATCCACTTTTTATTTTTTTTATTTTATTTTTTTTTTTTTGCGTAAAAATATATCATATTTTAAGAAGTTCAATGCCGTTGTTTTGAAGGTTCTTACAAATACATGGTAACCCCGTTTAAATGATGTTGTGTAGACACCATATTCTTCTAGTGTGGCTAATAAAAAACAAATAAAACCCATTTTTTTTCTCACCTTGACGCATGTGACCATATCAACCCGTTTATTCATTGGAAAATGTATGTTCTGATTGCACCACCGGTAGCCATATTTTTTGCTCGATGGGATCCATTATTAATTTGATATCAAAAACCAAAATTCTACGTGAAGGCTCAACTGTGATACTTGTAGGGTATGGGGTACACGTGCCCAAGCCAATTTGAGGCCATTGGCAAATACAAAAATGGGCACTTCGAATTTCAAAATTTTGTTACCGCATACGATAATACGAGGATTTATGTGCACACTAGTACATGGGTACTTATTATTAAATTGGAGTTATATGTATTACGAAAAAAAATTGATCATGTTTTAGTGGTCTGAGTTTGTAATGTCCAAAAATTTGCCATGAAATAGAGCTCCTAGCAGAGAAGAGCCAATCATTTCAGTGTCAGGCAGGGGAGGCCAATGCTCCAGTAGGTAATATTGCGGGTATGCTGTCTTTTGCTTTTTTTCGGTTGTTATCAGTATTTATGTTGCATGGAACGTTATATTGGTTTGGGTAAGCGTTACCGTTGGTTTAATTCTATGATAATGTTGGGTTATATCTTCGAGAATTGTTTTATGCCTTTTACATGCTGTTGTCATTAGTGGGTTATTGAGGGGTTGTATCTCGTGTAGCGGGTTCCAATGTGTTCGGTTGCTATTCTGGTTTTAGTCAGAATCGGTTCAAGGGTATTGTGTGGAAGGCGTTGGTCAAGATTTAATAGGTTAGTTGTCCGGTAATTGTCAAGGTTCAGTGGTTTTAGTAATTGTTCTGGTAGGATTCGTAGTTGCCTATGGGAGAACTGTTGGTTTCAAACACTACCATTGCTAACAAAGGAGCGGTAGTAGGAAGATAAGAGTGTTAGTTTCATGAGTTGTTTGGTCATTGGTAATCGTAGGGGAGTTCTATATTCGCACAGGTTATAGGCAGTTCATTCTATTTGAGGTAGATGGTTCGGAGATCCTTCAGAATTAAAAGGTGAGAGAGAGCTTCGTCGAATCCAAGTGGGGGAGGATCGATCCAGACCTCTGGGAGTTAGGAATGGTAGGGAACTAGTGCAAGTTTCACATCCTGGCTACGGGGAGAGATGACCCATGTGGCTTTCCAGATTGAGGTTGTGTAGGTGGGAGTTCAGGAAACTTCCAACTGTTGGATGGTGTCTCCTTTGTTATGCATAGTAGTCTTATGGTTGAGTCCAGGTTGTGGGTTTCGGAATTCTAATAATGTCCCGAACATCTGTCAGGATGTAGTTGGATGCAGGTTACGGCTCAGGATGCATGGAGTTGTGATGATTAAGGTGCGGTAAGGCCATGGGCGGTAAGCACGCTTAGTCGGTGTGTTGTAAAACTCCAATAGGATCATAGCATTCACCAGTTCGAGGAAGAATATTTTTGGAGATGGTCACAAGCGTGGAAGGGGAACCAGTTCGTGCCTTGGGCATGCCGGTCAGGATCATCGAGGAGTATCTCTATGTCTTGGATTGAGACCGATGGATCCGAGGCAGAGTCGGGCCAGTGTTGCTCTAGGTAAGTAGGACCCGTGGGTGAGGCCTGTGTGATTGTGCTATTTTAGGTGGAACCTGGTAGATGGGTGTGACAACCCGATATTTCAACTCTTTGTAATGACCAAAAAGGGTCAAGTATTGTAACCACTTTTGAGTAATAAAATTTACTTTCATAATAAAATGTACAAATAGTTCTATTTAATTTCCTTCTATGTTTAAATGTCTTTGAACCATGATCGTACGTGAAAAGAACGCCCAAATCCGACTTCATATAGCGAAGTTATGATTTTTCCAAGTTCGGCTTAGCAACAGACATCTAAAAACTCGAATCGGAGATCGAGCGACTTTTGGCCGGAATGACCTAAACGAGAATCGAAGGTCTCGATAATGGTATTCCAGCGGTAAAAAGTCTGGCAAAAACCGACATCAGATAAAGAAGTTATGAATTTTCAAAGAAATTCCTTAAACACGATGAGTTTAAAATATATAATAAAACAAATAATTTCGGAATTTGCCGACGGAGTCTAAACAAAAGTTGTAGAGCGTAGTCTCACCTACGCGTGGATATAAAGACCATCGAAAACGGAGTTCGTATGAAAAAGATATGAATTTTTGAAGTTTATTAAATAAATTATATATTTATTTAATTCAAAAATCGGACCTTATCCAAAGAGGGGTCAGCGTCCTCATCCGAGGTACGCGCTGCGTACCCCTGTACGCCCTGCGTACCCGAGAGACTTGGCCTCTGATCGTCCACGTCGCCCTATCCGAGGCGTCCGACCCGTCCGAAGCGTCCGACCCGCCGTCCCATCCGACCCGCCTCCCCAGCAACCCGTCCCATCCGAAGCCGAGGCAGTCGAGGCTTCGGTCATGCATGACGTACGCGTACGCGCTGCGTACGAGCGTACGCCCCGTGTACCGAGGCAGTTCAGCCTTCCTATAAATAGGATGCGAGGGCTTCCGAGAAAAGGGCTCATTTCTCTCCTCTCTCTCCCAATCTTGCCTCGTTTTCCGTGCCCGTTCAAACCCGAAGCTCTGGTCTTTTTGCTCAAGTCCCGAGGGTCGATTTTCCTCCCGAGATTCCCGAGAATCCCGAGGAAAATCCGTTTCCCGAGACGAAACTCTGCCCGGTTTTCCATCTCGCTATCTTCAAACTTTCAAGTGAGTTCATACCCCTTAATTTACCTTTTAAATATTTTATAAATTCTTTTATATGCTTTCAAGGGGGGGATTACAAGTAAAACACACGAGTATTATCGTGTGTTACATAAAGAAACTCTTTTATATGCTGTTATATATCCAAATCACATGCGATTTATAAACCTTTAAGGAACTTTCATATATATAACATATGTTAAAATAGCATTCTATCTTTTGAAATATAAATTTGTTGTAATGTATGTATAAACTAAACTTTTCTTAGATTATTCTTGTCTATCTTAGACTCTACACCAAAAATCTATGCTTTCATAAACAAGTGATTCCTTTTCTAGGTATTTCTAAACAAACAAGACACACTTTTAGAAAACTATAATAGGTATAGTTTTACGAACAAATTTCTAACTCTTATGTACTAGAAACCTGAATTTCAAGAAGTTTACTTTCGTATACAAGAACAAACGTAACATTTTAACAAGTAGATCTGTTTTTATACCACGGTTTTGTGAGACACTAACTTCATGTACGTTCGAGTACACATTTCAAGTCCTGTATTATATACCCGAATCCCTTGGAGGGGGAGCGTGGTGTTTGTGTATAGATCTATACGGGCTTGACAACCCGCGCCCTGACTGTTAGCTGCAGTCCACCGTTTGGGGTGACAAACGTCATAACATTCCAACGCCTGAAGAACGTTGTGTATAGGCATTTCGAGTCGATAGTATGGTTATAAAACTCACAAGGGGTATTAAAAATGCATTGATTTACAAGGTTTTCAAACTCATTGGTTATTTTACACTTACATACATTTTAGAAACAAACATTGGTCTTGAGTGAAGGCTACTTTTATACTAGTAGAAAATATAGGATTTTCTAAACACAAACAAACAAGGACAAAACATTTCATTTCATTCAAACATTGTCATTTAAATACTTATGAAACTCACCAGCTTAAATGCTGATCTACTCTTTCAAAATTTCTTGTATGTCCCAGGAAATCAGTAAATTTCAGGTATTCATTTTGCTTTTGATGAAGGGATGCTGCGGCGCCAGTTTAATCTCGTATTTTGACATCATATTGTAATTGGTTTTGAACATGTAACTTTTGACAAATGTAAACTTTCAATTATATATATGATGGTTGTATTGCTTTCTTTACTATGTATTCATTTGTTACGTTACCACATGAAGTCATCCGCCCCCGAACGTTTCCGCCGTTCAGGTTTGGGGGTGTGACAGATTGGTATCAGAGCAATGTTTATAGTGAACTAAGTATATCGAACCACATAAGATATACAAACTATAAATGCTTAAGGGACTAATACTCTCTGACAAAACAAATTTTCTTTTTACGCTCAAGCAGCTTTGCGTTCAACTTAAATTGATAGTTCATTTAAGTACAATTACATGCATACCACAAATTATTTTCATGTTATACAACTATACAAGTATATAGACAAGTTGACACTACGATTGAGACTCGATATATGTAATCAGATTTTGGACAAATATAGCGTGATCAACTATATTTGCCCGAGATTGGACCAACGTATATCGAGGAATGATCGTAGTAAGCAACAAGTCAAACCTCACCAAACCATTACTAGAATCAAACACAAGAAGTTAAATACTATAGGAGTATTTTCTATCTAAACTAGTTTAACTTACATGTTTTGAACGTTTCAACTTTATTCCATTCTTATAACCCTATTGCCTGTACAGTCAAATGGCTGGATTTCACCACCCTGGCGACCCCTACTTTCCCAACCAAGGCAACGGAGGATGGATCGAAGATGATCCCGAAGAGGACGAGGAACCCATAGAAGTGGGTGATGACTCCGGTACCGACTCAGAGCCGGAAGTTATCGATCCACCACCCATTCAACCTCCCGTCTTCATAAGGAACTTTCAA